CGCATAGTAACAGGTGTACGTTCTTCTCAAAACCATTGGTCAGCGATCTGACGGGTAGTAGCAAAACGGTCTCGTAGGGCTAGTTGTGTGAAGCGCCTATCTTGACGCTGTGGTACGCTTCGGTGGACCAGCTGGCCTTCTTCGTGTTCCTCTACCTTCTTCTGTCCACACACGACACACGCGCATTACCGTCATTACAGTACGACTAACACCGCGGCCAATTTTGCGATAGGACAAACCAACATCTCGATAGGCTCAAAGTCGCTAACATGGTGATAATTTGGACGACTTCGAATTCGAGGCATTTTGTTAAGCTTAATGCTAGTGTATGAAAGGGCAATAACTAATCTCTACTACTTAGCTCTCAGAAACTGCTTTCTTCACAAAAACTAAGACAACACATCTTAACAAAGGCATAAATATACTTAGTCATTATGTTGCAAAGAAAACAAGTGGAAGAAATTACTTTTTCTGTCACTCCGTATGTATAGTTGGCCACAGCGTAATCTATGCGACACAGACTTTTTTCTACGTAGACTTAAAATTATTGCGGAGAGGAGACAAATTCTCATGAATGACGCTACGGTATCTCATTTCATCTCGTCTAATATTCCGGTCGCGCGACTATAGTATTAGGTTGACTATCTCCAGTTGGAATACCTTCATCAAGGGCTAAAACTGATACCATCAATCATTCAAACGTGATGTATATTTTACGAACGGAGAGAAAGTGCACCGTTTGAGGCAATGCAAGAGATAGGAGATTAAACTCTTAAGGTGCGGGTGAAGTCAAAAATGTCGATCATGAAGTAAGTTGAGCAGGAAATGAATTTTAGGTTCTACGCATGTTGCATCTCTCTCTGGTGCTGTCATCATGACTGTAAACAACTCCAATTTCAACAGTTCGGGCGAGTTGCAAGCAGAAATATTGGATATTAATAAACCGCTTAGTAATAAACCTACAAGGCATGGCAAACAGTGAGTGAAATGCGCATAAGGAAACACTACGGCATTTTGTGTTGACATTTTTCACTGCGCAGACGCTCTGCTCCATATTCTACGTCCTCTAGATTTCCGAGAGCTACACCATCCTTGGCGACAGGGCTTCATAAAAATACATGTATCCCTTACGCAGCTCAACCTCCTATCTCTAGTATTCGTGTTCAATAGCAAAATGACCGGTGCGAGTTCCTCAAAATGACAGGTGGAGCTTACAACATTCAAGTCTGACATGACCTAAGAAGTTTCTCCATGATCTCTAGTGACAGAAACCTCAGACCTATCACTCAGCCGGCGAAAGTACATATACTTGAAATATTTCAGAAGCTTCTAGACGATGGTTGGTGCGTCTTTCTATAATACTGTCTGATTACAGACAGCAAACCTATAGGGATATTGTTTCAGTTCAAAAAAAGATCAGTTAACCTCAATCATCTGACTTAGGCATAAAAGATAGGGACCAAGTCTGGGGAACGTATTATAACGAGTTGAAAATTTGTTGTTCAGTGTTGGGTGAATCAGAAAAACATCTGACTCTTCGGTTTGTATGGTACGGTATGGTATGGGCGTGTCTATGTTATTTAAGATGACGTCTTGATGAAGTTCTTCTTAGAGATGCTGGCTGAATAGATCATAATTTTGGGGAGGTTATAATTGATCTGCCGTGAGTGACATGCCAACAGTTAACCGTTTGCGGCAGCTTCATTTTTTATTGTATAATCGTTCATTTTACATTATACATATATTGATTTAGTGCAACTCAATATAAAATGCTTTAATACTATACAGTATGATACCACCAGTATTATACAGGGTGGCCCATTCATGTGTGTACGGAACATTACTCATAAACAATTACATTTTGGGAAAATCTATTTATGGGATGTTGTGCATTATATTTGAGGGCACATTTCTAAAATATTGGCCATTATACAGGATGTCCCGATTTCGACCTATATATCAAAGTTGTGATTTTTTAAATGGAATGCCTCAAATTTTGATGCATATTTGAATAAACCAATTCAAAAGAGGAAAATTGATATAACATACTATGAGGTTTTGGTAATTAGCTTCTGAGATATAAGGTGTTTTGTATAGAAAAGCTCCCCACTTCGGCAACCTCTCAGTCCGTCATTTTCAAATTTGGAGTGATAAATTCTGTATCTAAAAAAAACTTACACACCTCAGCTTTTATTTTATTTGTTACTTTTTCGAAGTTTAATTTTTGCTCATACAGGGTGGTCAAAAACGCAAATTGTAGTTATTTTTAAATTTCAAATGCATCACCCTATATATTTGTACAAGTTTGTATTAACTTTTTTATAACCTTTTTTTATGCTAGACACATAAGGGATTTTATGGCTATTTTTTCGGTTATCAGCACGTCTTTTATGGAACGGCTTCATTCCCTAAAATGTCGCATCATCCTTGGAAACAAATAAATTGTTGATTAGTTACAAAGTGTCAAAATTAGCTTAATAATAAAAACGTATATGAAAATGAATTTTCCTAAAGAAGAAATGGTGAATATGGTCTTCGTTTTGGGAGAAGCCCAAAGAAATAGTTTCCTATCATCTCGCATTTAGGTGTATAAGCAACGGTATCCTAATATGCGACATCCAAGGCCGGAAACATTTTCCACACTACGAGAACGTTTTGAATCAAGTGGAGTAGTGGAATATAGTAAAACATGTATAAATACTCCAAGTGTCACCCGTGAGGCGAATCAGTTGGAGGTTCTATTAAAGTTGGAGGAAAATCCTCATTTAAGTGTACGGCAAATTCTAGCCGAAACTGATATATGCAGAACTTCTGTCCAAAATATTATTTACAAGCATAGGTACCATCCATATCACCTATGCTTGCATCAAGGCCTTTGTCCTCAGGATTTCGCAGCTCGAATGGGGTTTAGTAGAATAATGCTAAATAAAGTGAGTGAAAATACTACCTTCCTGAATAAGGTTCTTTTTAGCGATGAGGCATCTTTTAACAGCATCGGTGTTGTGAACGAGATAACATGCACTATTATGTGACGGAAAACCCTTACTGAGTTAGGCAAACAGATTTCCAAAATAAATGGAGCTTGAATGTTTGTGGAGCAGTTATTGGCAGACAAGTTATCGGTCCTTTCTTTTTCGACAACAAATTAACAGGTACACAATACTTGACCTTTTTTTTGCTTGTGGTGGATGTCAACCTGCAAACTCGGATGCATATGTACTTCCAACACGACGGCGCACCTGCGCATTATCATAATCGTGTGCGTAACTATTTGGACACCTGGAGTAACAATCGTTGGATCGGTCATGATGGGCCTATATCTTGGTCTCCTAGATCATTAGATATGAGACCGATGGACTTATTTCTATGGGGCTACGTTAAGCAAGAGGTTTATAGATATCCACCATCTAGCCCGGAAAATATGAAGGAAAGGAGTAAGGATTCTTTTCTGAACATAAGGGAACACATGCTGAGGGATGTGCAACGGTTATTTATCCAAAGACTACGGCTGTGTATTCAACATGGTGGAGATATTTTCGAGCAGTTTTTGTAAATTAGGTCTTGAGTAGTGATAGTTGTTTCTTTATGTTGTTTTTCTCTATTAACACGTTCACTGCCGATGACGCAACTGTTGAGTCACAGCAGCTTCCCGGCAGAAGCCGATGACTCAAATGTTGGGTCATGTGCGATAGGTTATTGCATCAGCCAGTAGTGCGTCGGTTACTGAAAGGGTAGCAGCATATTACGCCGGCCTTTTATTGACTTATAAACACGTGTTCTTGCGCGATTGGTTTGAGGTTACGTTTTTGCCTTCAGTGTACAATGGACAGCGAAATTCCAGGACCATCTAGACCGAAGAGAAAGTTGGAGGATCCTAAAAGAGGGAAATTTTTTAGTGATTCGGAGTTAGAAGCATTAGCATACTTATCAGAAAGTGACGAGGAACCTTTAGTAGACAGTGGCAGCGAGTATGAGCCTGATTATACGAGTTCAAGCGAAGAAGAGGAGATTTGGGAGCATGCTATGATCCCTGAAACCTCCGAAGAAGGCGATCGCTCTGAGGTTCCAATGTGGGCCGATAACCCAGACATAAACTACTTTCCATTTTCCGGCAACCCTGGACTAAAAGAAAACTTAGCATCTGACGACCCTATTGACTTTTTCAATCTATTTCTTACGAACACATTTCTCGAAAATATCATTGTTGAAACGAACAGATACGCCGAGCAATTGTTTTTGAGCAAAAACACGAGGGAGAAGTCAAGAATAACCGACTGGAAGCCTTTAACAGTTTCAACATTGAAAGTTTTCATAGGGTTATGGCTTCATATGGGCAATATACAAATAAACCGGATGCAGGACTATTGGAAAACTCACATGTTGTATAATCTCGAATGTTTTAGGAACCATATGAGCCGAAATCGTTTTTTGACGATTCTAAGGTGTCTACATTTTTTTTCCAAAAATCCTGAAAGAGGAGAACCAGGATATGATGACCGTTTATCGAAGATTAGATGGCTACAAGACTTTTTCAACCAAGGAATGGATGAGATTTACTGCCCCAATAAACAATTGTCTCTAGATGAGTCGATGGTCTTGTGGAGGGGTAGATTGCTTTTCCGGCAATATATTAAAAATAAAAAGCACAAATTTGGTGTGAAAGAGGAGAACCAGGATATGATGACCGTTTATCGAAGATTAGATGGCTACAAGACTTTTTCAACCAAAGAATGGATGAGATTTACTGCCCCAATAAACAATTGTCTCTAGATGAGTCGATGGTCTTGTGGAGGGGTAGATTGCTTTTCCGGCAATATATTAAAAATAAAAAGCACAAATTTGGTGTGAAACTATATATTTTATTGGAACCTAATGGTCTCGTGTTGAAAGTGAGGATATATACTGGGGGCGAAAAGGACATGCAGGGGGAATTGGGACATTCTGCAAATGTTGTGTTTTGTCTCGTAAAAAAATATCTTGAAAGAGGACACTCATTGTATATGGACAACTATTACAATAGTATTGCTTTGGCCAAGAAACTACTTTTGAAGGGAACCTACGTGACTGGAACACTAAGAGCGAACAGGAAGGGCAATCCATCTGAAATTACTTCTAAGAGATTAGCTAGAGGTGAAACTGTTAGCAAATACTCCGGTGGAGTTACAGTTGGGAAATGGCGTGACAAGAGAGACGTGTTATTCATTTCTACAGAATTCGATGGTGAAATGGTGCAAGAGGAAAATAGACGAGGAGAAAGTAAGCAAAAACCCAAAGCGATCATTATGTACAATAAGTACATGTCAGGAATAGATCGCCAAGACCAGATGCTTTAGTATTATGCAAGTGAACGAAAAACCATTAGGTGGTACAAAAAGATGGGTATTCATATAATATCAATGATGCTTCTCAAAAGTTATCACCTATATAACCAATATTCAACCAAGAAAAAACTAAACTACTATGACTTTCGACACAACATTATAGAAAAATTATTGTCAGAAAAAGAAGATATACCTGAGGCTGATCCATGTCCCAAGAAAACAGCTTGTCGTTTGCCTGAAAAATACCAGTTAGATGCTGCAGGACGACAAATGAGAAAAAGGTGTAGAGCGTGTTATGAAAATAAATCGCGCAAAAATACTCTTGGAAACTGTTTCCAATTGTATCATACATCAAAGTAAGTGCCCACTTACTCTTTTTGCGTTTTATGTAGTTCTAATGTTAGGATACCATATCCTCGTGAATACTATATATGTTAGTTTCTGCAATAAAGGAAAAACCAAAGTTTAGTTTCCTTGTTTGTATTTTTATTTTACGTTTTTTTAGTTTATACTTAGGTATCGGTTTTACTGATGTTTGACTTATACCGTTTTAGAAAAAAAACTTTGACGTGTTTTTTTTTTTTGAAAAATATCACCTATTCTTCTACTTTCTTAATTTTAACTTTGGCATTTATGTTCTTTGTTTTATTGATGTTGTATTTGTACCCTTTTAGAAATACATTGTTCTAAATATTTACCTAGCTTCCTTTTGTGTTTGGAAAATTCGACTGAATTCATTGTATGGCTCAAATGTTGAGTCAATGCGGCCTCTACTTGTAGAAATGCATCTGAGAGGCCGATGACTCAGCCCTTGAGTCACTGTAGTTTTGACACTCAATACACAGAACAAACAAACATAATATATAAGAGATCGCTAAAAACACTTTTGGCTTTATGATTTTTCGAAAAAATATATTGGCTTCTCAAAGAGTTTTTTGAAGTTTGTATGGCAGCGAACGCATGAAGATGATTTATATTGTTCTGATTGTTATTAGTTTTTGCGTCAAATCTGTACTCTTAGTAGCAACATGGAACTAGCCCACTGTTTGTTTTTTGTTGCCATGGATGATGTGATTTTTTTCCTTAGTTTTGGTGTGTTGTTCTATTAAAATCTTAATAACTCAAAATCTAGTGATTTTATCTGAATCAAACCTTATACCAAAAAAGCTTATAAAAAGTTGAATCCACACTTGCACAAATATACAGCGTGATGCATTTGAAATTTTTGAGAAAAAGTACGCGTTTTCGACCACCGTGTAAGAGCAAAAATGAAAACTTGAGAAAGTAACAAATTAGATAAAATCTGATTTTTTATGCAAAATTCAGTACTCCAAATATCAAAATGGCGGATTGAGCGCTTGCCGAATTGGACGGTTTTTCTAGACCAAGCACCTTACATCTCATTAGCTAATTACCAAAAATAGATTTTCCCAAAATGTATTTGTTTATAAGTAACATTCCGTCCACCAATGGATAGGCCACCCTGTAGTCACAGCCAAATATCGTAAGTAGTATCAATAGCAACACTGATGGATATAATGATACCTCACTGATGAAGATATTAGTCCTGCAGCTTGACTTCATATCCCCTGATTTGCCAAATCGGACACCATTCCGCCAGATAACATCACTGATTAATGTATCCTCAGCAGGTAACACCAAGTCGGTCCTTCATCTATACTTCCTTGATGCCCTAGCTGTGTAACATTCGTTGTAATATACAGTCAGATTATCCAGGTAACTAACGAGCACTAGTAAATATACCAATATGTGGCAAAAATGAAGGTTCTTATTATTTTTCAACTACCCTTACATCAGACCTAGATAAAAATGTACTATTATAAATCAAAATATTTTTTTCTAATAAATATAACTACAATTGTATACTGTCACTCTCAGAATAACTTCCTTCTGAAGCCACACAGCGCCGGAGATGGTTCTTCCAGTCCTTAGAGCTGGAACTCCGATACTGGAATAGCCTTCAGCTGATAGGTTACAGCCGCTTTGAAGTTTTCGACTGTCCCAAAATTAGTTCCGTTCAGGTGACTTTTCAACTTCGAGAAGAGAAAAAAGTCACAAGGACTCAAGTCAGGCGAATGAGAAGGCTGAGGAGCCACAGGAATGTTTTTACTGGCCAAAAACTCGTTTATTGACATTGCTGCTGAAGCTTACCAAGAGTTTGCAGGAAGTCTGAAGCAAAACCTGATAGCACACCCGTGCTCGAAATTGATGTCAGTCATTTTTGGAACACAATAGGAAAAACGCTACGGACGACTAACTGACTCGAGTTGAAACTTGTACTGAAGATTGATCACATGTTCCCCCGTCTCTCCTCTAAGTTCAGTGGCTCCAATATTGCCAGATCGATCGCTACGTTGCCAGTCTCATCGCTCAATTTACAGACCTCACAACATTGTAAGCTGCTAAAAGGCCACATTACTTCACAGAATTCACTGCTTGATAACACCGAAAGTTATATTGCTGACCAATAGCCTAAATCAAAGGCAACCAGTAATTATTGTGACAACGTCAGAATAGCATGAGGAACCAAGTAAATTGACTATGATTTTGTGGTCATCCCACATAACCAGTAGGACGCAAAAGGTTAATGAAGGCTGCTACTGATGGCTACTCCATAACCTTGCGCTTGACCATTTCAGCGTATTGACTTTTTTACAATAAATAGCATCAGTACGTCTGTACATATGTCAGCTTGTCATAATGACATTGTTCTCAACACCTCAGCAGGGGGATTTTTCTTGGATTGCATGTAAGCACGACAGGCGTATCTTACTGTCTTGACCTATTGTCGATGAACGTTACTATACTGTTACTGCATCTGAGTCAGCAAAGCCAGAATTTCAGTCAAGGAAAGTTGGCACAATGTATACTAAGGGACATAAAATGCAACACTCACAATTATTTATTGAATTTGTTGAAATGTTGAAGGTATTCCGAGCTGTACTCTTTTTGTAAAGGGTTTTTTGTCATATCAGGATCCGATCAATATGAACATGCTTAGGTACTTAATATTCAGTGATTTTTCTGAGTTGTTTCCATTTGATTCACTTTCTCTTTATCAGTAGACCCAAAACTTGTAAAAGTATGCTCAAAATTGAAGCACTCCTAGTCATCGTTGCATTTTCTATGTCATTTAGTATATTTGAAAATTGATTGAATGGGCAAGATCGTATGCCAATTTTTTTGGATTAGACATGTTGTGTTGATTTAAATGAGAAACTACTTGTAAAATCAATGGCAGATTTAGGGGAACACAAACACCAGATCACCAAGCTTTTTTTCAAGAAAATGGAACATACTGCTGTATCTTAGTGGGAAAATACCTTGCCACACCCGAATCGTGAGACGGGCGCCCCCTAGAAATATCCCACCCCAACTTTTCATTTTCTAAGTCTACCCGCGTGGAAAACATCGTATCAAAGGTTGCCTATAAAAAGGAAACTGTATAACAGTTGAAAGAGAAATAGTATTGGTGGAAAAACAATGTTTTCCAGTCCCTCTGCATCAAAAACATTAACATTCCCGCATATTGAAACTGATACGGGTGATCAAATGTACTAATTAATTTATTTGTTTGCTCATTCAAATCACTCGGGGTATCAAGCTCATCGAGTACGAAGTTCAATAGCAAAATCACTTGATTCGATTGTAGTGTCAAGATCGTAACTTCTTCATTACCGGTATTTCGAATACCTACCGCTAGCGGCACGCAAACATTTTGAGCAGGGTCGGTCACAGACGCTAAGCAAGTGTGGCGGCAGTCTCAGGGCCTAGTGCCTTGGGGGCACAAAATTCTCAAACAAGGGCGGATCGAGACCGACCAGCCAGCGCGAACCATCCCCGTCCTCCCCGCTCCCTCCACTGGGTAAGTCGAGACCGACCAACCAGCGCCACCCACCCCCTAGCTCTTGAGTTATCAGAAAGACTAGTAATGATGTTCTAGGATCCCATTTCCAATGGTCTGACACACGACTGTGAACTACTTCAGCGTGCATGCGTTGTCACAAGACTAGTATTAAACGGCTTTAAATTTGATTCTGCTAGAATACATTATCTGTTTAAGTCGACATTGAAGGCATCATATTTGACATTTAGACAAAATTCCATGTTTCTTCCCTCATTGTTAGGCCACTGAATTACAGTTCCAGATATACCGTTCAAGAACTTGATTAAACGTCTTATTATGTAGAATAAACAACTAATCGTCAAAACTAATCAAATGTATTGCGAACCATAAAAAGATGATATTTTCAGCCACTTTGCGAGTGACTCTGAAATGATTCATGTATTCATTTCCATTGTAAACAGGTACAGTTACATTTATGTAATGCTCATTTTTTGTTTCTTTTTCGATTATTAATCATATGCCGAATGTGCTCCAATCGGGTTATGAACTTGAACAATAAGAATCTGACATTTCTGTGAGCAATACAAACATGTACCTATATATAATAAAAAACTAGTACACACCATATTTTATAAAAACCCAAAATTAGTTTGCTGAAACAGCGGACCATTAATCCCAACTAGGTTTTACCCTTCCTTGAACATGTTTTCTCCACTGCTCATGTTAAGTCAGATTCAGATTGGAAATGTGATGCTAATATTACGATTAGCTCTGATGCAACCTTGCCGCCACCTCCCTGCTCTCCGGTAATTTTAAAGGAATTAGCTCTTGGAAGCACTGATGCAACCGAGTAAACTTTGTGTGGGATTCATATTTCATCCCTTGCCACTTCACACAAAACTCTGAAGCCGGCCCTGATTTTGAGCATATTTTTACGTTTTTGCCGGTTCTGACCAACTTCGGGCATTTAATTTTAGTACATCTGATTTCAGAATCATTCCAAATGCGGGCATTTATTGGTCAGATACCAATAAACATAAAATAAACTGTAAATAAAATAACATAAGCAATAAGTCAATATTTTTGGTGAGAAGGATGGTTTAATAATAAATTATCAACATTTGGCGTCAATTTTGTAAGGGTTAATCTTAAATCTCCCCGGCTAATGATGTCCAGTCTGTTTCTTTATGAACCCCCTTTCCACTAGGTATGACGATGGAAAGGAACTTAAAAATTTCTTCGCTATATTCCATAATACGGGATAAGTAACGGGTATGTTGTTTTGCAGCCAGAATTGCTGATATCCCTTTCTAAACTGAACCTTGAGTTCTTCGTTTGTACTTAGTTCAGTCAGTTCCTCTTGTATTATGACATTCATGTCTTCTACGTCACCATACGGATTAATTATCCACGGTGGTGTTACCATAGTCAAAATATCCTCAAACCTAGATTCAAAATCTGAATAGAGGGCATTTAAATGTTGAACGTCAGTTGAAACGTCGTCTTCCTGGCAGCTTGTCTGTGACAAATCGGGGAACTGAGAAAATTCGCCCCGTCCAATATTTTGCTTCATTAGTTTAACTCTGGCAAGAAACGCTGTATTAATCAAATTTAAACTGTCGCCTTGTAATTGCAAGTTAACCATATTAAATTTTGTAAACAAATCTGTTAAATAGGCGATGTCTGTTTTCCTCTTCATTAAATTTTCTTTTAAAGTTGTATCTTTAGTATCCAGAAATTCTATAATAGTCTCAAAAAGTGCAAAAAATCTGGTCAAACATAAGCCTTTCGACAGCCAGCGTACTTCAGTGTGAAGGAGTAATTGATGAAAGTGTTCGTCATTTTCTTCACACAACTGCGCAAATAACCGCGTATTCAACGCGTTGCTTCGGATTCGGTTTACTGCATCAATGACTAAATGAAGTGATTCATGCAATCTAACACTCAAATTTTTAGCAACTAAATGTTGTCGATGGATGACGCAATGTATTGCTAACACCCCTGACACATTTTGTTTTAAATAGCTTATAAATCCACGATAACGTCCAACCATGGCAGGTGCTCCATCTGTAGCTACTGATATTATATTTGATAAAGGAATTGCTCTTTCAATGAAGTAATCCTTCAAAACATGAAATATTGATTCACCTTTAGTAGATTTCTTGATTCATAATAAAACGAACATATGCCAATAATAATGCTGCATTATCAGGTAAAGTTGACTCGTCCAGTTGTATAGAGAAATGGGTCGTTTGCAAATAATTACATAAGAAGCTTTCAATATCATTTCATCAATACGTCTTTCAACAGTATTGTTGCTTAAGGGAATTCTTTTAATGATATCAGATGCAGGTTTGTGTAAAACAGTTTTTAAAATCTCTCCAACGGCTGGCAAAATTAACTTCTCTCCGATAGTATGCGGTTTTCCGGATTTTGCTATAAGTAACGAGATATTGTAAGACGCCCGCAAACCATCATCATTTCTTTGTGACGTCGAAGCGAACATTCTGTCCAGTGTAGGTCTCTTCTGAAATTTATCTTTGAGTGTTTGAAAGTATTTAAAATCGTTCTCTGATTTATCAGGGTGGCATCTTCTCAGATGATCTTGCAGTTTAGATGGTTTCATAGCGTCATTGCCCAAAACCTTGTTGCATAAAAGGCACAGGCGATTGTTTGTCCGGCAGTGTTGGAATGAAGCCAAATTTCAAATAATCAACACTGTACTGTCTACATTCCTTTTTAGAATCGGACATGGCACAGTCATCTGTGGGCAAAATTAAATTATTTAAATAAGACAGAAAATCCAGTAGCTGTATATTAAAAATATTTTTTGATTTTTCCGAAAACATTCCATAACTCGAACATCTTCTTGCAACAATTCGCTCGAATTAAGGAGATTGCACTGTAATTATATTACCGATTGCTAAAACTTTCAAAAAGAAACTATTGAGGAGTACTCGTGTAATTTTGCATGATTGAATATTAACTACTAATAACTGAAGTCATGATTGGCGTAATTTATCTATCTTTGCTAACTACGAGTACAAAACTAAAATTTAATAAAAAATAATGTACTTACTTTCGTGGACCCCCATATTCATTTCATGGACCCCCAAATTTTTTTTCGCTGACGTAGACCCCTTGCAGGTTGTCATAGACCGCTAGGGGTCGATATAGACCACTTTGGGAATCAATGTGTTAGATGAAGATTGAAACGAAATAAAATGGTATGGTGGAACCTGAACACAGAATGAAAATGTTATTGATGGTAATAACAATAATAATCATAAATAAGCAAAAGGTAAATCATAGCAGATGTTCAAAATGTTGTCCGCTATTATGTAGGCATAGCCTGACTGTTCTGTGTACATTGTTCACTGTTCCTGTTTTTTTCAGTCTTCCAAGCTCTGTTGCTATGTCCAATTTGTAGTCTGGTGTGGTATCCAAACAAATAATGAAATCTGATAATTTCAAATCCTGCCTAGGAACTTCTGTTTTTCTGGAATAACTAAGGTTTGGCAATGCTAATGTATCACATAATTGCATGTTTGAAATCAGATTTAAAGGCTCTCAGTCATCTGTGCTAAAATCCGTCTATACGAAAAAGTAAAGTTAATGCTGGAGGGTAAACTATGAAACGTCATATTTGAATTCTAATTATGCTATCTTGCGGAGGAGAAAAAGTAGCAGTTTTGAAATGCAATTTATTTTGGAAAACGATCTCAAATAAAGTCAGAAAAAATAAAAGTGATTTTGGGATAAATCTTTTAGGCCAAACAAATGATCTGATTACTTCAAGACACACCTAGGAAATTCTGCTTTTTTAAATAACTAAGGTTTGGCAACGTCAATGTTTGACGTATTATATATTTTTGGGAGAAAAACTAAAAACTCTATTCATCTGTGCAAAAATCCAATACTATGAGGAAAAATAAAGATGATGTTGGAGGGTAAACTATGAAACGTCATATTGAAATTCTAATTATGCCATCTTGAGGAGGAGAAAAAGTGGCAATGTTGATGAGCAATTTAGTTTGAAATCCTACCACAATTAAAATTAGGAAAAAATTAAAACCATTTTGGAAAAATCCGGTTTTTTCCGTCTCTCTCCGGAAGTACTTTCAATACCCAACTTTACCCCGATTTAAGCGACTCCGTATCTCTTACAGTTTCCGAGATCCCAATGGTGAGGATCGAGTTTGAAACACTCTATACGTCAGATCGCTCCTGGACTAATCAGAAGGTTTGTTCCAGCACAGGCGGGGAACGTGTTCCAAAATGAACGCGAATGCGCATTTTGAAAAATTCGTCTCAGGCCCTGTTCCGGCTTATCTTATTCACGTTCCCTACTCCGGCATGCCTGGTTTTTGTTCAGAACTAATTCGTTTCTCGAAAAATATGTTCTGAATAGAATTGAGAACATTTATGGTACAGACCAGTTTAGGCATGCGCAGTTGAAAGATGGATTAACGATTGTAGCGAAAATTTTGAAAGTCTTGATTTCTTAATTTTATTCAGGTTTATTTTGCATCATTGTTTTGTGGTTAACAAAATTGAATCACAAGGTGAAGATAATTTTTGTGTATTGGTAGTGTGCTGCTTTGTTTTTCCATTTTTTTGCTCGCTATGAGCGAAATGGGTGGAGGGGACGATTTTAGGCTATAGTTTTTGGTTGTAGATGGAAGAACTGGGAAATATTTTATTATATCATAGGCTTTTGTTTTATTTATTGTAACCTAGTTTAATTGATTGTACTTACAATTTAGGCCGCATCGAATATATTTTGATGTAGATTACGAAATTTTGAATGAAACTACGCGGTTACTTTTTTTATTTACTGAAGCAACCGCCCAGACAGAAGCCTAAATACCAGGGCATCGCGGGTGACATGAGAAGCTTAAAGACACTTCGTTAATCCGATTTTTGACCTGCTTCCGGTAGATTGCTTAACAATCTCGATACCCTAGGGGCAAAGGAGCAGTCGTATCAGCCAGTCCTCGATGTACGATGTTCGACACGGCTAGTATGGGAGGCTGAAGTCAGGCGAGTCTGTCTGGCAGGCACATCGTGCGGCAGCATCATGGAGGACAGCTCTGACTTTCTAAATCATGTACATAATCACATTCCAACTAAAAAATTAGTAATTCCACCAAAAATAGGTTTTTAAATATATTTTTATAGCTTAAACTTTCAAATGCAACTTGTGACTCCTACGAGATGATTTGATGTCAATGTGCAGCGTTGCCAAATGTTACAATCTTACAGAATATATTTTTTCAACTATTTGTTATGTACGAAATGTGGGTGGTGGGGATCGTCAAATCACGATGTGGCAGTGATGTGACACAACTCGGAATTGACATGTGTCAATTTGCTATAGTTCATACCATTCCACACTAAATTACTTAGTTTAATATGTGCCACTACCTTTTAAAGTACTTTAATTTGGTTTTATCCAATTGAATAAAAAACATGCCAAACATTGATATCAAAGCATCTGATTGCCGAGAATTGATAGTCCCGAATAATTATGATCACTAAGCGGCGCTGTCTTCACACACAGGGCGAATAACGTCATCATCAAGAAACTCCTAAGCTTCCATGAAGGGTAAAAGCAAAGAAAATTCGCAACATACAACCGTGTGCTAAAATTATCGTTTTGCAGGTTATGAATACACAGAACTAGGAAAATCGTTCCAGCAGGGTAGGTACTACGAGTAGTTATTGATTGAATCATGTTACTCGACGTTCTGTGTATGTTCTGGACATGAATTGAACATATTGCTGGAACAAACCCATAAAGAAGAGTGCACTCGCGGTTTCCTGGCAGGAAGCGGTGCACGGAGCAACACTAGCTCGCAATAAAAATGCACGCCTACTTGACTTACAAACTTGCCACTGCCATTCGATATGTGGGAAAAATCTCAGGCCCTCATTCACACAATGCTGCGTACTTTTATTCAGCTGCAATTATCCTATACGTTAATGCCACTTAGTGGTAATATCTCATATTCTGAAACAATGGGTATGGAATGCCAGATGTGTTATTTTTTGTAATCAGTTGGCGTATCTGAAAGTAAGGTGGAAAATCTGAATAATTTTCGCAGCTCGTATGACTGCAAATTGCTCATTATACGTGCATAGACTATTATTTCGTTTTTATGGGATGTGGAGGTTTTCACCATTGCAAATGTTGTATCTAAATGATATTAAATACTGTTGTATCCACAAATTTGAGATAATGAAACAGAGCTTAATCATTCATTAGTGAACGATCAAGGAACTGATTAGTGGAACGCAGTTTGTTCAAATTTCAATCATGAGTGGTGTCACGAGTATATAATTTTCAGCTAATTAGTTAAATAATAAGCTGGGAAAATTCTGCTATTGTAGATTGTTCCACAATCTCGACTCCGTCGGGACAAAGGAGCGGTCGTATCGGACAGTTCTGGATGTACGAAGGCCGGAACGGTTAAGATGGGAGCCGAAATACATATATGATTCATAACATTAACCTATTTTGTCATAACACGAAGAAAAAGGCAGACATATAAAGATAATACCGAAATTGGTATCTGGAAATGGTTGATAGATTGACACCAATGAGTTGTTCGACAGGAAAGCACCAAATCACTGAATAGCAGTAATGGAATGCTATTTTTATGAAGCATGTTTAAAAACAACAATTATTTATTGAGATCTGGCCTTAATACTCAAGAATCTGTTCGAGCCAATAAATTCAGATAGATTGGTAGAAGGAAGCAAAAATATACGTTTACAATTTATTGATTGCCGCCAAAATTGTGTAACTTTTCCTAGTGAGATCCATGTTTCTTTTTTAATAAACTTTGCTCCAATATTTTTTGAATCAAAGTGCATCTCAAAAATATTTAGAAATACAAGAAACTATTTTTCCGCTGCAAAAGTGACAACATGGCATAATTTTTTCAGAACAGCACAGTTATGCTATTTCTAAGCTCTTTAATGGATAAACGTTTTCTGCCCATTTTTAAAAATGCATCATTTGAGGAAGCCTAAAAATACTCATAATACTACTATTGTTTTGACTTTACAAGTTGAAAATACAATTTTTTCAAAACTGAACAGAACAGCTGCCACTATTTTTTTTGCAAAATTGCATTTTTCGATTTTGGCCGCCACCTAAAATTTCTGAAAAATAAATAAAACTAAAATGGTATTTTGTCCCTTGTCTGACTGGATGTTTGGTTTTTAAGAGTTATGAAAATTTCCGATTTTGGAAGCATCATAATCATGAAGTTAAATTTTAGTTTGGTTGGATTAAAGTTTTGGTTGGCCTTTTTCAGAGTCCATCAAAAAATTTGGTTTGTCTCCAATATTTTCCATTTTTCAATGTTTTTCAGTTCTGTTGATAAACCTTAGCTTGAGATTGGGTGCTCAATGGAACAAAAATTGATATGAAATTGATCAAATTTAGCTCACAACTGTCCAAGTAAAAGCTCAGTGTCGAGGTACATGCCCTTTAACAACGCCGATGACCATAATACAGGGGGCTTCAAATTCGACTCCCACCATTGGGATCTCGAAAATTGTAAGCGATACCCAGTCGCTTAAATGGAGGTAAAATTGTGTTTTTAGATAATAAACAAAATTCTGCTTAGAAAGTTTCGAAATTCGATCTACTTCCGGAGAGAGACGGAAAAAACGAGTTTCCCAAGATCGTTTTAATTTTTTCCTGACCTTTTCCTAGAATTCAAATATGACGTTTCTTGTCCTCCAGCATCAACTTTATTGTTTCTTATAGATGCCATAATGGATTTCTAAACATGAGTAGGATTCCTAATTCTGATTCCAAAACTACTTAATACGTCATACATTGAGGTTACCCAACCAAGTTACATAAAAAAACAGAATTTCCTAGGTAGGCTTTGAATAATCAGAGTCATTTGTTTCCTCTTACAGATTTAACCCAGTATCACTTCTATATTTCCTGAATTTACTTAACATGAGATTTCAAAATAAATTGTATGTTAACATTGCCACTTTTTCTCCGGTACAATTTCAATATGACGTTTCGCCTCTTGTCCTCCAGCATTAACTTTATTTCTTCTGATGGACGTCATATTATTTTTTTGCACAGATGAATGGAGGTCTTCATTCTGATTAAGACAATCCTGGCTATTCACAGTACATTTTCCTCAAAATTTGATAAAAACAGGGAAAACGGGATAATTAACGTGAAGCGAGTTAGGTATATAGATTTCTATCATATGGTAATATTGTGTAAATTTTGGGCATCATACGCATTTCTTTCTCATACGTGGGAAAAAAATGAGTTCTCAGCAACCCCCATAATCTCAGACGAATCTGGCGTATAAGGTGATTGGAAGTCAAACATGCGATTTTGAGTTTGCCATTAAAATACAAACCACACATCTTAAATTGCGTAAATGCCAAACAAGTTGCGCATTTACCAAAGCAACAAAAGGTCGCCCAAAATAAAAATATCGAGCTTTAAGAGAACCAAACCCTACCCATCAAGTGATTTTTATTACCACCATATTTTTCTTCTCCATTTATATCCAATTTTCGACCCATCAGCCCACGTAATTTATGCCTACAGTTCCTTCTTTAAGTTGAGGGAAGCCTGAAACTATCCAGTGGCGGAGCCAATGAATACTACGCGAACTCTGTTGGTATCTAAAAGCAAACGAAAGTAGAGAATATCAAAGGAATAAACTCATCAAGCGAGTGATCCGTGCTTCAGTGTTACGTTAGATTTTCAATATAACACAGGTCGCAGACACCTGGCCGGTCACAAGTGCGGCAACGTGTTGCAGACCATCAGAACGTCAGGCTTATGTTTCGCAAAATGCAAACAGTAAATGTACTTCCATATATTGCAAGCATATTATACAAGCTTATGTTCATATAAAATTGTCGGGAACAAGTTGAAAAATGGTGCGCCCCAGCCACTTAGCGCATTTCTGAACCTAGAACTTGAGTTGAAACATGTTGAATTGGCACCTAAGTCTATGATGAAGGCACAGATACAGACATGTTACGGTAAGTGCTCAATTGGAAAGATTCAGCTTAAAAATCTGTGTTTATCCTCATTTACCGGTGAACCCACAAGCCTTGAAAAAGGTCATTTGATTAAGAAGTTGCTGTTTATCCAGATGCCACATCATTTTCGGAAAATCATTATTGGCGATGTTACCAAAGGAATCTTAACTGTTATGTAGTAGTAGAAAAAGTAAGAAAGCTTTGAAAATCCGGGTTTTGCTTGATTGAGATAAAAAAGCAAAAGCAGTTCAAACCAGAGCTGTCAGTACATATCGACAACGGATTATTTTAGTGGGTCTGCACACAGTTATTTCAATAACGTTACAATAATGATTTTGCTCAAACTGGATAGTTGATAACCGATATTGCATGTATCGTATTGTATAACCGTACTACGAAAATCTCGGATTTCGTCATAAAAATGGCTTCGATGAAAATATAAATGATAACGGCTAGCATTGCTGGAGGCTTTTCAAAGATCCAAATGAACAATATTCACATTAATAATAATATGCTCCTTCAAAAGATGATGATGGAGAAACAAGAAATTATTTTATGGAGAAGAAATTATTTAAAATCAATAAAGAAATACCGCGACCAGGAAGATTTATTACTTGGATGAAGCCTGGATAAATGCAGGTCATACAAAACCTAAAGTATGGGCTGACTCTACAATTAAATCAGCAAGACAAGCCTTCTTAGATGGACTAACCACTGGCCTAAAGAATCCGTCATGTACGTGTGTCTAACCAATTCGTTATTTGAGTTGTAAAAATGGTGTCAAGTAGTCTGAATCTATGAGCCCACGCTGAAAACCTAGCTCCGCTAAACTTAGTTATATCTGGTACACTTAAAACCAGCCCCTGTTAGATACTCTGCTTGTATTATTATCGGTTTACTTGAATACTATATGAAATAATTATTTCCAGGAAAAGGAAAACGATGTTATCTGTCACATTGGCAGTGAAGATGGCTTTGTGTCCACTGCCCTATGGGCATTTGAGTAAAAGAAAACGACAGACTACCATGAAGAAATAGATGGGAGTTCATTTGAACGATGGCGACGGTTTGAAGCAACGCTCCCAAAGCTTGACGACAATGCCGTCGTTGTACCTGATAATGCTGCATACCACACTAGAAAACTAGAAAAAATTCCCACAACATTCACAAGAAAGGCAGAAATTCAACAATGGCTCCTATCAAAAGACATTACTTTCCATGAAAATATGGCCAAAACAAAACTTATCCAAGGCTACCCCCTTATCACTGCGAATTAAATCCTATTGAAATGATTTTGGCGAATATAAAAAACTATGTGGCTTCAAACAATATAACATTAAAATTTTCTGACGTGAAAAATTTGTTTTATGAAGCTGTCAACAGAGTGACTGCAAACCATTGAATAGATTGCATCCTCCACGTTCAAGAGACAATCGAAACAAAGATATGAGATCTTGACAATAGGATCGATACCCAAATTGAACCTGTAATAATTAATATTAACCATTTGGACGATGATTCAAGTACTTCCAGAGAATAAAGAATTGTGAAAAGTATGTGCAATTCTTTCTATAAGAATAATCATTTATCTTGTTATATTATTTCATGACCATTGAGGAAAATACGGACCTGTACAATCTCGCTTTTGTCTGGGCGTAAATGGACTACGAATGGGGTATAGGTGTCATACGGCGAGGGAAACCCTGAAATTATTGCAAAAAGGTTTTCCTAGACTGCTAGCCACGTTAATCCTTGCAAGGAGAAAATCGACGAAATAATAGTGATGACCTGGAGTAAAACGTTTCTCAAGTTACTGGGTAAATGAGTCACAACTATGCCAAAAAAGTTACTGAAAACTTTGGCGAGGAATGTAGGGACAGCTGAGAGGGACACTAAACATTATGTATACCAAAAACCACTGATTCACGCATTCTTTCTAAAGTTTGCCAGCCTAATACTATATTTTGATGTCCAAAAAATTATTCGGGATAAGATGAGATACAATGGCATGATCTATGAAAATTG